AGTTCACCGACCACTGCTGAGCTGGTGGATGAACTCTTTGCAGCAGGGACAGAAGCCATGACACCACATCCTCTGGGTCCAAAACATCCAGCAGCATCTGCAAAAATAACAACTATAGTGAGTCGGGGCACCACACAGCGGTGGAGCAAAGAGGGACTTATCCCACTTACCTGCAGGACCCTGAGAGCGGCAGTGACCACTTCTGGAACGTCGTCGTTCAGGCGCTCCGCGACGGCGTCTCTCAGGAACGTTTCATCCAAGCTCTGCCGCTGTCCGAAGGAGACGCAAGACGGTGAGGCGTCTAACGGCGGCTGAAGGGCCGCGAAATCCTCCTCGCCGTTTGTTTTTAATACACATTCCAGCCGTACCTGCTCAGACGTGACGATGCTCATCAGATGATCCATGGCCGCCAGTCGGACCGAAGGCTGCGGGTGTTTCAGGCTGAGGAGCAGCGATGTGTCCGAGTCTTCTAAAATCTGACAGAGATCGTCGGACGGGAAGTGAAAACAAGTCTTTCTCTCCGTTGAGAATTAGAAATGATCTACGCTGGTCTGTGTTTTGTTTTTTTTTTTTAAAGAGAAAAACTTAGACTATTTTTTTTTACCTGGAATTTGCCACTGCTCATGGACAGAGTCAGGAACTGGTGGAAGAGACGTTTCTGCTGCGGGTCGCCGCTGTCGATCACATGACCAGCGAGGACGGAGTCCAGCGCTCGGCAGTACCTGGACTCAAACAGTCGGACCACAGGCAGCAGGCGCTGGTCGAGGGCCGACATGTCCTCAGCAGAGCGCTCGGTTTGATTCAGATACGCCTCCAGGACGAGACTGCAGTCGAAACAAAAACAGGTCAAATAATGTTGAGAGTTCTAAAAAATTAGCCCTCCGAGGGGGTCAGGGTCTGATTGAAGAAGTCTCTTCTGGTTCTAAATCTTCCATCTACAGATATGATATCAAACAGATAGTATTTAGTGGAAGCTAATGCTAATGTTCTGTACTAATGTGGTGTTTAATGGAAACTTAAATGATGACATTCTATGACATTAAACAAGAATATTCTGGAGGGATATGACTAACATTTTTCAGTAAAAACTTTTGAAAATTACAATAAGCATATCTTATTTGGAAGGGAAAATATGTTTTTATTATACATGGTAGATATCATGTTCACACCTCCAAACATCTGAAACAAAAAGATTTTCTCATTCAATTATGGGGTAACCGTGGCTCTGTGGGTGGAGCGGTCGCCTTGTAATCGGAAGTTTGTGGGTTCGATTCCAGCTTCATGTTGCATGCCTATATTGGTGTATAAGTGTGTGTCCATTTACCGTTTATATATTGAATTCTTAAAAACAAGTTTGAATATTTAAAGCAGAAAAACAACCCATGACGCTAAAATGCTAAAATGAAAACAGGCAAATAGGATAGGAATAGGAGCCTTACCGAGCCACGGTTCGGTCCAAGTCTTTGGTCATGGGGACAGATTTCATGATGGACTCCAGCACGTTGAGTCTGTCTGCCCCTTTCTCATCTGTTGCAGATATTACCCATTAAACTCTGATCCCAGTTAAGACATGGCTACACCTAAAATTTTCACAGTCTCACCTGAGCTGCTGCAGAACAAACCGCGGACCAGTTGAGGCAGCATGTACCCCAGCAGAGGGCCGACATCATGGCTCTCCGCCATGACCTGCAGCGTGGAAACCAGGCCTGGCATCGAGCACAGACTCTTGAGCGCCCTAAGCACAAAAGCAACACAGAATTAAGGAGAGAGCACACCTGCGCCGAGCACGACAATCAACACCTGAACCACCTCTGATTGGTACCTGGGACTGACAGAGCCCTGCTTCTGGTTCTGCAGCAGCACGATGAGGCAGCCCAGACCCTCCTTGGCCAGAACGGGCTCTTTGCGCAGAGACTTGCTGACGTGCACGGCGAGGCTGTCGACCAGACTGGCCTCCATCACCACCTTCACCGCCAGCTGGCACACGATCATGTAGGTGGCGGCTTTGTAGTCTGACAGGGACGACTTGAGACCCTGAAGAGACGACCAGGCAGCAAACGGGACCGGATCTCAGTTAACCTCTTATTTTTTTTAAACAATGACATCATATCCTGAGACGGTGTGAGTTAGCGAACAGAAGAGCGCCACCTGGTTGAGACCGGATCATTAACACAGGACCACAGTTCCAGTCAGACATTTTCATCCACTTGTAACAGAAACAGATGAATTTATCCATGTTTGGAGCACAAAACGGTCCACATCACAACACTCATGTCAAGAACAAGAGGATGGAAACTTATGCAGCTGTGCTACTTCTTTAAATAAAAGCAGCAAAATTTGACTGTGTGTTCAGTTTTTGTTTTACCATCTGGACATATGGTAGCAGTTTGGCGATGATGGTGTCAGAGATTTTGTCCACAGCATCCAGAGCGGGGACGATGGTGCAGGCGTAGAAAGAGAAGATGACTCGGAGCTGAGAGAAGCTTTCAGAGTGTCCAGAGTAAGCCTGCAGAGGAGAACGGAGACCTGTTAGAGCTCGTCGTATATCGGAAGGGCAAACCTCTGCTCTTTTGGAGGCGATGCGTGTCGGTGAGGTCACCTGGATGGACCGCGTCACCAGGGTGCAGATGAAGTCCATGAAGCTCAGGTCTGAGTAGCAGTGTGTGATCAGAGTCCCTCTAGAGAGTGGCACGCCCGGTTTCTGCAACAATCAAGATGTTTTAAATACGCACAGAGCAGAACCAGAACCAGAGAGCTTGTCGGAGGATGGATCCGGACCTGTAAGCACTGCAGCCAGTTCCAGCGGTTTGTGGCTTCTTTGAGATTCAGCAGCTGCAAGACTCGGACGAACAGGTTGGTGTCGTGGTACGGCAGCGCGCAGGCCAGCAGGCTGTCGGGGTTATACAGCTGGACATGGAAGCTGAACGACACAACGCCAGGCGTGAGTCCAGAATGTCTTAACCTCTACCTCATCAGCAAGTCGATAACGGGTCAGAACCAGGTGTTGGATAAGAACCCGAAGAGTTCCGATCAGAAACTCTGCTGGAAGCTTTAGAGCTTGTAACACTAAACCATATCCCACCCTAAGCTTAAAATTGTGGACTGTACCTTTAAGAGCACCAAAGAGGACCAATCCCGCCAAAAATGCCAATGATTAAGTAAATAAAAACAAATATTTATCTACAGTTTTATTTGTAGATAAACATACAACATCAATGCATTTGTGATGTTGTAAAAGCAACGAAAACTGTAAGAAATTGTTAAAAAGTCACAGTTTGGAGTCTGCTCCAAGGAAAAGACTAACTTAGGTGTGATGTGAAGCAGAGCGACATACCGGTGAACCAGCCACTCAATGCACTTGTGAGCTGGCTTCAGCAGGAAGTATGGGCAGAGCCGCGTGAGGAAGAGCGAGATTCCTGCGTCCAGCTTCTCGTTGACCTCTTTGGACTGGACGCTGCGCTCCAGTGTCATGGAGGCGGGGCTGAACAGGGTGTCGTGGAACTCCAGGAAAGCCGGCTCGATTCCCAGCAGCTCCTCCAGCCCCGTGCAGCCTGGAGAAGAGCGGAGAACAGCGGAGTTGTTAAGAGGGAGAACAGGAAGCGGTTCCGTGTCTGGGTCTGGCTCAGGCTCACCAAGTGCATAGAAAGTGCTCCTGTCCATGGTGGCAGCATCTTTGGGATCAAAGAGCAGCGAGGCGACATCTTTACGTCTCAGCAGGTTGGGATCGCTCTGAGGCAGCGCAAGCTTCTTCAGCTGGAGAGCCAAGGACGTCATGATGGCTTCTGATCTGAAGGAGACACAAACATCATCACACAGACACATAAAACTGAGCTTCAGTTCAACACACTTCATTTGAATGTTTTGGAAGTTGTAGGTCAGTGAATACAAATGCACGCCACACATTTCAGAGTTCATTTTGTAAGAAATAAACACACACACACACCCACACACACACACACACCCACACACACATTTCTTCCACTTCACAACTCCCCTAGTCTAACATTTGATTATCAAGCCAGGAGTGAAACTGACTAGATTTTTCTTTTTTCTTTTTTTTATGTATTCGGAAAGGGGGGGAACAGCTTAGTGGGTTTAGTTCACAGCTGGACGGAAAAAAGAGAAACGTACACCCAATACAATAACGTGTTGACAATCTGAATTTAATTATTAAGCCGGTAACAGGACACTACGACCGTAACTTCACGGTCCAGTTTCACAGTAATCAGACATGATTTTAGAACAGCGCGTTTAATAAATCAAATAATTCTCTCAACTACGTCTGAAGCATTTCTAATCAGTAAAATAATAATCCGTTTAATTCTGTATAGCTCGGTATAAACACGGAAAGAAGCATGCGGTCCTTACTGTCTGTTTATCTCCGGACTGTAAATAATAACTTATCACTTTAACCAGCGTTGTGGGATATAAAAGTTACCTGTTGTCAGATAAACTAAAACACACACTGACAACATATATCAAAAAACTTTACGGACATATCCGCACCTACCTAAGCGACAAGGAGCCCCTAAAACACACACGTGCAACCGTGTCTGCGCCGCCGGAAACGTCTCTCTACATCCGGTTCACCACGCTGACAAAGTTTGATGGAAAGATGGCTCACTCCAAACAAATACTATCTTCGTCTGAGGCTTTTACGAGTAGAGATTAACTCACGCTTTTTGTTTACTCCCAGCAACATATAACCTATATTATGTATATTTTATACACATTATTTATATGTAACATTTCCTTGACCTTCATAAAATGTTCCATAGTTTGTCAGGAACAGTGTCTCGATAACAACTGATGTAATGGTTTACGAAGTGTTAAATTTCATAAAGATAACGTCTTCTTTAGTGTAAAACGTGCATAATAGTAACATTAAATGGTAATGTTCTGCACTGACCACATATTCTTAAGATTTAAATCTTTAATAAACGCTATAGATGTGATTTGCTCGCCTGGGTAATTTCAATAGGTGTGAGCTATCTTCAGGTTTATATATGATCTTCGGGTATCCCTGGAGCTGATACTGTATCCTGGCACACGGGGGCGATGATAAGACTCGTAGTTATAAAAACAGCAGCTTTTACGGTGCCGAATCGATGACTGACTGAGTTAAATTCACTGTCATCTCATATTTTCAGATGGTTCGTCCTGAAAACGGACTTTAGCAGCACATTTGACCAGTCCGAGTTCTAACCGCTATTCATTTGTTATGAAAATCTGTTTTCTCCGGTTAGGGTTTAGCTAGCAGCCGTTCTGGTCCGCTCAGTTTTCGTTTTTTTCCGAAAGTTGCGTGGCTCTGTTGAAGGTAAAACTTTTCTGTCGCTTTATTTTAATTTTATTTTGTAAGAACCTTATATGTTTTGTGTTAATTTTCTTTACTGTCTGCCCGCAAAAGCAAAAGGGCTAATATTGTCTAACAGTTTGTTTTTCGCGGGGCTCCGCCCTCTTCTAGATATGATTGGCTCGTTTCAACATCAGTTTCCCGTTCTCCACGCTGATTGGCTGGAAAATGGCCGTTTTGATTAAATCACCTTGTGTCGGTTTAATTTACAGAGGGGAAAAAAAACACAAATGTCTAAAATAGAACTTATAAATATTTCAGAGATACATGGGTAATAACGATCCAGCCTGATCATTACTTTAAAAGTTGATATATACTTTTCACAGAAAACTTACTACTTGTAATTTAGAGACTCATGTCAAATAATCAATTTAAATCTTAATTTTTTTTAAAATCATCAGCGAAACCTATTTAGGAAAAAAAATCTCTGGAACCAAAAATCCTATAAACAGGCACTCCATTTTTTTCACCTTTTTTATCAGAGCAATGAATGTTGTCCAATCTTTGGCTCCAGGATTTTAACAATCATTTCTAATGTGAGAGTTAAAACATACATTGAGGCCTTTTTTTTTTAGAGAACATGGTATTTTTTAAATTAATTTTCTTAAATTCTACAAACCTTTTTAATGTTAATTTCTACCCTAGTATTCGAGATTATTTTTCCATTCTTTTAGACAAGATTCAAGAGTAATTATTTTACTTGGGTCATTTGTTTGTAGTTTTTACTTGAATGATTTTCCTTTAACTTTTATGCAAGTTTACCCGCTCATTCCTCATTTTTCTTCTTCTTTGCAGTTTTTTTTTGTAACTTTATTGATTTATTGGGTTCAGCATCAAAGAGAAAATAAGACAATTGATGTTTAGCAATTATTTCTGCTCATTTTGTTTTGTTTAACTTGAGTGACAAGTTAAATGTCAGTTGAGTGACATTTAACTTGTCACATATAATATATCGTCATATTATTATTAGCTGTCCAGTTTTCAGCTCCTGACTCAGTGCTCTATAATTTTTCTTGTTGTGATCCAGGCTCATCTTTTGAAGTGGTCATAATTGATGGTTCTAGAGACTTCCCGGAGGTCTTTTAAAGTTTTTCTTTGGGCTTCAGCTGCTTTTTCACTCAGGCTTTCCCTGTTGGACTCCTTCCACCTGACCTGTGTGTGTTTGTGGGCGGAGTCTAATAAGCTGAACGGCCCCTGACAGGTCCAGGAAGTGTTTGGCAGGTTAAAGGCGAAGTTGACCCGCTGCAGCACACGCAGCATGTCATTATTTATCTGTGTGGTTCTGTGATGTGCGAGCTGCGATGTGTATATGCACGTCTCTTATAATGGGGGAGGAAGACGAAGAGCTGCAGAGCTGGGGCTGGACTAACCTGTGTGTATCCTCCACTCATGTGTGTCTGTATGTAGGTCAGAGTGTGAGATCAGCTTGAAGGGATTTGTTGTAGCCAGGCCGAGGCTGATCGGTGCTCGAACCCAGTCTCTGATCAGAACTGCTGAGGGTGTTTGTTTTTGAAAATACCACGATCAGATTTTCAGATTAAAGGTGTTCAGATGCAGCACAAAACATGCCTGTAAACTCTGAGAGTCTGGTGTCAAAGAGACTCAGCTTTTCTGACTGGTAAATTATCTGTAAATATTCACACAGAAGCAGCAGGAGTAAACCAAGCCATTAAAACAATAAAACATTTGTTTTATTACTTCACACACAAGCGCATATGACAGGATAACTTTATAGTTAATATTTAAAATCATTTAAAATTAATTACAGAATGTATGCAGTTGATATAAATGAAGGTGTTTGAAATCATGATTTTTTTCTTTTTAATTTAATCTTTTTAATCAGTTATTTAAAATTCACTAGTGATTTTTAGTTTTCTTTTAAGTAAAAAGTGTTTTCGTTCAGTTAAGATGACAACTGGTGGGTGATGTGGACTTTGAAATGTATTCTGATATTTTCTGGTACATTTATTTGTGATAATGAAAATTATGATTTAAAATAACTGCTGTGACTGCATGGCACCACAAACGTAAATACTCTCTTAAAAACATTCCCCATTTGAAATTAGTTTCTTTAGGACAGCACTTACGAGCTACACTTGGGGCAAAATGAGATTTATATAATTAAACTACACAGTGCATTTAATTGTCTTTTTGAATTCACCGCTGTTTATTGATGCTTTTTTGGAACAAACAGTAAAAATGGTAAGAGTAACATTTGCAATACTATTATCCTTTTTTAAATTCAACATTATTTGAAGTTCATCAAGACGATAAACCGAAATTCGTCACGATAAGCGATACGATAAATGGCCGCCACGTCACAGAGCTGCTCCTTCTTTAGCTTGAGTTTTCAATCATCGTTCTGATTCCTGTTTCCAGTTGCCAGACCACCTCTCTTGACTCATTCTACCTTTTTCCTCCTCAGCTCCTGCTACTATTCCTCATCGCCGTCGGACTCCGAGCAGGAGCAGCGGACCCCTTCCTCCCTCATGTCCAGGCGCAGCCTGCGGCTCGACGGTGGCCTACTGGACCGCCGCCCTCCGCCTAGCGGCAGCGCCTCCCTCGTCGTGGGAGGAGCCCTCTGGAGGAGCGGCGGGCCCCGTCGCTCCCAGCGGCACTCGGCCTCCTGCTCAGAGTCGCTCCTCGTCGGCTCTCCTCAGAAAGCCGTCAGCCAGTTCCTCCACAACAGCAGCGTCAACAGCGTGGCGTCTGATGCCTCCCTGATCTCCTCCCTGCTGGACGAGTCCTCCATCCAGGAGAGCACGCTGGTCGAAACCTTCTGGGGTAATCCCGCTGCCTCCTCTTTGACGGCTTAATCATCATAAACCTGGATCGCGTTTAATTCTCTGCTCCTCCTTCTCAGGTTTGGACCAGGATGCAGATCCGAGAGGTAGGTTCCTGCTTGGATCAGAAACGCAAACTTCCTTCATCATTTGAGCTTGAGATGCAAAAACAGATTAATCTCTGCTGAAACAAAGTTGCTGCTGGCTCATCTGGCATGTCTCTCTGTTTCTCAGAAAGCACCATCATAGCCAGTGAGAGCAGCACTCTGATTGGTTCAGACAGTGTTTGTGCCAAACACTCTGACCAGGCGCTCAGCAGGGTTTGCTGTAAAGACTGCGACGGTCCAAGTGTGCCAAAGACCAACAAGGAAACCAAGACGGAAACCTCCACCATCTACTACAGAGGCCGCAAGAGCAGGGAAGGTGAGGGGCTTCCTCTTCATGCAATATTTGATTTTACTTGAAGTAGTTGTCGCATTCTCATTTAAAATAAATTGGGTAGCGAGTATTTGAAGTTTGTTTATATAGCACCATTCACGGAAAAAAAAAATCACACATGCAAATATTAAAACATTTGCATAACAGTGTCTTTAGATGGAATTTAAATAAATCCAGACTCGAGTCAAAGTATCAAAATCAAATCATTCTACAGTTTAGGTGCAGCAGCCCTGTAGCTTTATATCTGGTCCTTGGAAATAAAACTATATTTTTATAGAAAGCCCTTTGGCTTAAGCTGGAGTTACTTTATTTAAACCCTGGAAGTTAAAGTCAGGATTTAAAAATGAATACTTAACAGTAAAGTTAACAGGTACCAGTTCAACACGTGCGTAGGTTTGTGACAGTAACACGTTGTGATGGTAACAGCATTATTCAATCACCAGTAATGTTGTTTTGAGGCAACTTTCAAGTAATATTTTGATAATGACATAATGATGCAAGTTTGCCCTCTGACAGACCAATAAACTTTGATTTTTGTAAATAACACCAAACACTGAAACTGGATTGGATATTTTAAATATACAAAACAAAACGCAACCAAAAATAACAAATAGACCTGAAATTAAAAACCACTCATTGCCAAAACCATGAATAAAATATATTTATTTACGGTTTGTCTCTTTGAAAAATATTAATCTTCACCATGGTAATTATTTAGCTCTTTTTAATTTATCATGCAGTTAATGAATTGCTTATTGCGACAGGCGTTGGTACAAGTTGATCAGGTGGAATTTTCATCCATGTTCTGTTTAAACACTCTTCGTTTAGAAACTCCTCTGTGTTTAAAATTGGAGACTTTTTCCATAGTGATTTTCCCCTTTTTGACACTGAAGCCTCTGAAGGTTTGGAGTAAATTGTGTTGCTGCAGCGCTTTCGTGTTTTGTATAAATCGTTATGCAAATCGGTTTCCTGAATTGCTGCTGTGAGGAAGGCTGAATCGACGACGCCTCAGGACTCCCCGCTTCATCTTTTTTGACTCGGCTTTTCCAGATGTGCTACAGCTGTGGCTGAACTCCTCCCTGCTGTTTGTCAGCAGAGCCGCAGCCTGCTGCGCATCTGCGCTGCAGCTCACCTGGCGGGCCTTCCAGCCCTCCTCACGTTCACAGCCCATCAGGGGTGGAGGTAAAGAATGCGTGAAGGTGGTGGGTCTCGCAGGTCTGCTCCTCCTCTTCCTCACCTATTCTGGTGTTCAGCCGGTGGAGGGGGTGGAAACACTTGGCCTACTCTAAAACCCAACAAATCACTCAGCTCAGACATTCACTTTGGCTGTTTCCCCGGTGAAATGCAAATCGTGGCTACACCTGCAGCCACTCCCGACCTCTGAAGACGCACACGTCGTTGACGTCTCTGAGGTCCCTGTTCACTGTGCTGCAGCTCGGTCCAGGGACAGCGGAGTCATGGCTCTGAAGGAAGCCAGCCCGGAGGAGCTTCATCCCGTCGGATCGCTGTGTGAGTCAAACGGGTCCGAGCACCTGCAGCTGCGGGATCACGCGCATTCAAAAAGGTTCTCTGTTAAACTCTGCAGGATGTCACGCAGTCAGAATAAGAGATCTGCAAGAATCAACTGTTCTGGAAGCTAAATGCTACAGAGTAGTTTTAATAGAGAGAAAAACCTATCTGTACAACCACTTGGCAGTTTCACTTTAAACCAAAGTCCAAAGTGGAATGCTTGAATTGTTTCAGATGAGATCTTATGCTAACAGTCACTGTTTTCATTCACTCCATAAATGATCCAGACATTTTGTAATTTCTTCTGAAAAAATTTTTTTGAGGGTTTCGTGATTTATAACAATCAACATCTTTCTGGCTCACCACTCTTCTTTGCAGAAGTTGAGGAGTTTGTTTATTTTTTTTATTTCCTGTAAAATTTTATTGTGTGTTTGGAGTTGCAGTTCTGTTGGCACACCCAGACGATAAGCTGTATTTAAATATGTCAATCGCAGGTCTTAAATTTTATTGTGGCAGGACTATTTAGTCTCATGCTCTATGTAGTTTACTCCCCCTCCCCACTACATTCTGTGACTAGCTAAGCTAACTAGCGAGGGTAATGCTAGCTCACATTTACATTCATTATGGGTAAGTGCTAATTTATGTTCGTCTTCACCATTGGTTCACATCCGTTGTCAACCCATGTAATTTATTTTTACGCAATTTTCCATCATTTCCGTCGTGATGGAGTTCTTAAATCCCCATTCATAATGGTCTTAAAAAGTCTTAAATTTGAGTCTGTGAAACCTGCATTAATCCTGAAAAGATTCTGCTCCAAAATACAAAAAAAAACCAAGGTTGGTCAGAGTCAATTTAAGACCCTTAAGCCATGCAACACTGAAATGATGTAGGATGCGGTACTACTTTCAAATCTATAACTTCAACTCCAATAAAAGATTAGATGGTTGAAAGTTGGACACAGTTGGGCGTTCCAGCAGGTCAATGGTCACAAACGCACACCTGGGCTGGCTTTGGAATAAATAAAGCAGGCTGACATTAGCTTCTGAAATGGCCTAATCAAAGCTCCAGCATTACCCCTGCTGAATAATAGAAAAACGACAGTAAATTTAAACTTCTCTATAAAGTTCTTGTTTTTGAGAATTATTGCAGCTCCATGTTGGATAAAAGAACCGCACTAATAGGTCATTAAAATGCCAAATAACATTTCGCCGTGTTTGTGGTTTTAACACGGTGTCGACATCAACAGGTGACGACTGTAAAGAGAAGCAGCGCTCCCAGCTGGACATCTCCTCCTCTTCGTCGTCCTCCTCCTCCTCTTGGTCTACCAATCTGTTGGAGTTCATGTGCAGCGCTGCAGTTTTCACAGGTTCACTCAGTAAAACCCGCAGCGGGCGCTGCAGACGACGTTCAGAGCAGCTGCTCAAACAGGAACGCGGTTTCTGATTTATTAATTAACAAACGTTTCCGTTTAAGCAGTTGCAGCTGACGCAGCCAGAGTATTTCTATGAAAGCGTCCTAATCTCTGATTATCGCTCTGATTCAGTTTGACTAACGTTTGCCTCTGCAGCTGCAGCTCTGTGGCTTCTTTCCCAGCTGGTTTTCTCTGCTTTGCTGAGAGGCGGACACTCTGCAGGTTACAGTCGCCATGTGTGCTGTTTGCTTCCCTAGCTAGATGTCTGTAGGTGGTGCTAGAAGACCCCGACTCTGATCTCCCTTGTAGTGGTCCTGCGGTGTATGTGTGTTTTGAAATAAGATGCACCAGAATCAGACTTTGGATCAGTTTCCACCTCTCAAACATCAACCACATTTACACAACTTGAATTGCAGTAAAGAAGATTAAAATCTTTCATAATTGCAACAATTGAAGAGCTTTTTGTAGACGTTGCTGGTTGAAGTTTGTGCATCTTGTTTTAAGCGTTTAGCAGAATGTTATTGACGTTTGAATCTCGTCTCATTTAACTCGACCTGCAGCTGATCCTGGATCTGTTTGTGTCCTCAGGCTGCATGTTCAGATGGATCAACAGACAATGGAGTCACATGAGCTCGTCCTCCCGCCTAAGCAAGTAAGATGTTTGTTTGCATCCCACCAGCATCTAGAGAACTTTGATTAAACCATAAGTGTTTCTTCTTCTATTCTGTTTAAGCGAATTCTGAAGATCATAAAACTCGATGTTAAATCTAGTAGTTTTTGTTTGGTTGGCTAATCGTGGGTCCATAATTTCCTGTTAAAAAAACAATATAGTGTATGGTGACAAACTGAAAGTTCCAGGAAAAATGTATTGTCATGTCATTGTTTCTTTTTCAGAATTAAAAACGTGTTTTTCTCTAATAATATTCATCCACAAACTACAATTTAAGATCAGACTGAGCTGATTTGAAATGTTTTGTCTTGTTTTCTCCCCAGACTCTTCATCGTACTCCTGCTCCTCCTCCTCTTCAGTAAGTTGTACTTTAAGGAAATTCAGATTCAGCTGCTGCTTAAATAATTGTCCCATTTCTCCTGAAAAAGAAAAAGAAATGGGGGATTTGGTGTGAATCAAGCACATCTTCGTTTTCTTAGCATCACAATTGTTTTTAGGGTAGTTCTTGCTTTCCTTGGAGCTGAACACGAATAAGGATAAGGAACCAGAAAAAAATACTGCTTCCATGTTTTTCCCATCAGGTTTGTCGTGGTACCGTCCAGCTGGTATCTACTCGCTCCTTTTGGGGATCAACATTGCGGATATTCCAGGTCTGTCCTCAGTCCGCAGCTTCTTGCCACTTCAGAGCCAGTCAGCAGAGGGCGCTGCAGAGGAGTTGGTCCAGAGTCACTCTCTGTCAGCTGAAATGCTACCACAGGTATCTGCTCAGGAAAGAAAAACAATCCTAATTTTCAACTTAGGAATGCAAACAAGTAATTTATTTACTATTAATTATCAGGTAATGATTTTAAATTAAACTTGGATCCATTTTATTAACTAATGTCCACTTAGAGATTTTTGTGTTGTAGTTTGGCCTCCATCCAGAAGAGGGTGCCGCCGGTCGTTCTTAATCAGTCAGTTCACACAGGAATAAAGATGGCGGGGGCATACCAGAATGGGAAAGAGAAACGGTCTAAACAGAGTCTGGTGTGAGATGCACAATGCTCTTTATGCAGATTTGTTTTGAAATATAAACACTCGAGGAGCAGCGTCAACTTCGGTCGGTCGGTCCTCTTGATACAAGAGAAACTCAGGATTTTAAGAATATGGACGCTTATTGATTAATAATTAGTTGATTGATAAAATCAGTTAACTTCAGATCAACTCATTAATCCATAACTTGTGTCCCTTCAGCTTTTAAAGTAGACCTCTGTGTTCGGTCATATTTTCTACCAGGAGGCTCCGTCACCAGCTCCACCAGCAGGGATGGATTCTGAGCAGCTTGCTCAGATGGAGCAGAGTCTGAGGGCGCTGTGGGAGGGGATGGAGGCTGCAGGGCGACGGGCGGAGGAGAGTCACAAGGAGCTGCTTCAGCTCTACACCGACCTCCGTCAGCAGGCGTCCGGGCCCCAGCGCAGCGAGTACGACATGGAGCTGTGGATGAGGGGCCTGATGGAGCAGCAGCTGTCTCTGCTACGAAGACGACTCAACGAAGAGAGACGGCTGAGGGAGCAGGTTGGAAACGCCACCTCCAATAACCAGTTTAACATTTCTGCTGATTGAAAAGATTCATCGTATTTTGGATTTATGGCTGGACGATAAATCGACTTTTATCAATTTAATCAAACTTCTGGTTTTTGAAGATTTTAATTTTTAGAAAATCCGATTTTTTTTTATTTTATTTATTTATTTTTTTACCAATGCACTTCATGGGTTTTCATCGTTCTGAGTGATGAAAACCACTCCAAAAGCCACCATCTTGTTTGGCAATCTGGTTTTGAAGCTTCTAATTACTTGGACTTTGAATTGAGGTCAACACTATGACCTGAATTCATACTGTTGAATTAACCTGATGGTTAAGATTTTTTTCATACTAATTGTACTATTACAAGAACACAGTTGTAGTAATACGAGAAGTCACAATATTACCAATTCTACTGGATGTTCTTCCAGTAGAATTGCATCTTTATTCTGCTAATATTACAACTGTGTTCTCGTTACTAAACAAAGATCCTTGTAGCCATGCCCTCATACTCCATTAATACAATTGGACTTTTTGACAATGTTTTCTCTCATTTGTAACTTTTTTTTTTTAGAAAAGAATGAGGGTGAAAAAAAAAGTTGGTTAAAATCTAATCTGGCATGAGAAAAATGTGATTTTTATTTCTAAGTCATATCGCCCAGCTCTGTTTGAACTGTATCACTTGTGTCTCTGATGACTAAAATCCGAAGAGATTTTAGGAGTTTTTTTAAGTTTCCATGATTTCTGACAGTGAACATAGTCTTTAGATTTATCATTCAATAAAATATAAACATTTCACACAGACTAAGACTGAAGCCTTCAGAATGAAGACCTGAAACTGAGTTTTCCTGTGTGTGTGTGTGTGTGTGTGTGTGTGTGTGTGTGTGTGTGTG